GTGCTGGGAAACCATTTTTTCATAAATCCTGTGCTGCTGTTGAATTTACTTTTTTTAACCAGGCTTCCTAAGGAGTACAAGATCCTTTGTACCTCCTATGCTTTTGCTTCACAAATGCTGCTAGCTTTTATATAACTCAATAAACTGAATTCTCAGTGTTTCTAACTAGAATTAATTTAAATAGAACTCTTTTGTAAAGGATACAACTGGCAAATGGGAGAGTTGTCTGTTCTGGCAAACCATATAAAATTGCTTGAATTTTAGCATTAAATCTTAAAATAACTTGTGATGCCTTATCCCCAGGCACCCCACTTTCTTATTAATTTATTTTGAATGCCCAAGTACTGGTGTACACAAAGATAGCATATTGAACATGTGTATGGATTGAACTTATGCATTCAGATGCATAAGATGGAATACATAAATACTGTGGCAACACTTAACTGTTTGTTTGTGTCCTAGGAATCAGTCAAATGTGAGAAGAATGCACACTGCTGTGAAGCTCAATGGAGTCGTCCTTAATAAATCACAGCATGCACAGCTAGTTCTCCTGAATATGCCTGGACCTCCTAAAAACAGAAAAGGAGATGAAAACTGTATCCTCCACTATATTGCTCTGTATTTCTTGGCACTAGGAGTCTTGTTTCGTGATTGTGCCACTGAGAGGGTTAGGTTGATCAACATAGACTTGATTTTGGGAAAACAACATTTATTTACAGAAATATGGTTTTCATCAGTATTGATTTTTAGTTCAATTGATATAAGATAATCATCTGTTTTGAACTCTCTTATTTTCCTCTAATCTCTTCCGAATGCAAATATCACAGGAAAATTAGTCGGCACTCTGAGCAAGCAGGTGGATTGGGTAATGGGATGGCTCTGTGCCGTGTGTATAAAACGGGGCAGGAAAATTACTTTATGAAACTACTCTGTCATTGTGTGGTGTGTGTGTGTGTGTGTGTGTGTGTGATTACTGGCTATTTTGTTTCTTCTTTTTTTGTGAGCCCTTGACTTAATGGTACTGCAGACATGGAGTTCTTGGAAGTTCTGACAGAAGGTTTGGACAGAGTTCTCCTAGTCCGAGGCAGTGGACGTGAAGTGATCACCATTTATTCTTAACCTTTTTGTTTTCTGTTTTTTTGTTTGTTTGTTTTTGGTTTTTTTTTTTGTTTTTGTTCTGTTTTTTAACTGAATGTGCAAAGTTATTTGCCATAATTTGAGCAACTTCACAAAGAGTTCTAGTGCATTGAAAATGATCTGCGACCTGAATCTTCTGATGAGGTGTTTTGTTTTTTTTCTATTGAAAGTTATATTTAAATTATATTTTTAGAAAGATAGATTTATGTAGAAAATATTTCTGTAATTAATCAATGAATGCTGGAGGTATCAGGATATATTTATATGTAGCACACTAACATTTTGTTAAACTGGTGAAACACAAGAAATAGTAATATTATGACACTTTTTAAAGGTAGAGATGTAAACAATTTATATTATGTGCTTAATATTTGTTCCCCTTCTGAATTAAAAGGGAAAAAATTGTAGGAGAAACTTGTTTCCACCCTTATCAAAATGCTGCTATGTTGCTTCTTTTGGGATTTGTCCTGGTTCAATAAACTTCATTCAGAAATATATATATAGCCACCCTAACCTTGTATTTAATTATGTGCATAAAATGTTCCACACTTGCAAAATCCATAAAAGCTACAGTGGTCTTGAGTAACTGTGGGTGGGGGTGTGGGGGGGGTGGTTTTTGACTTGGGTTTTTTCCCCCTACATCTTTAAAATACTTTGTCTGATACTTGTAGCCTCCCTGTGACCGGAATGGTAGATGGACTAGATTTTTCTCCTGAGCCATGAGTAGTTCCAGGGAATCTCGATGCAGCCCTAGGGCTGCCCAGTGCCTGGGGAGTCTGTCCATGAAGCAGGAACTCCATGTGGCTGCAGAGGCAGCTGTGCCACTCGATAAGGCCAAGTGCCTTAATGAAGTTCCGTCTCTTGTGTTTAACTTATCTTGGGGAATGTCATATGTGTGGGGGGTTAGGGGGCCACCAGCCACCTCAGCTGGGACTTGCCCACTACACGTAATGCCTGCTCTCTCCTGGCACTGTTGCAGGGCTCTGCCCCTCATAAAATATGTTCCCTGTACAAAAATAGTCTTTTGTGTGCCCCCTTGGGCCTAATCTGAAAACACCTGAGCAATTTCGTTGTCCAAAAGAGCAGCTTCTTCCCGCAATTGTGAAGCAAAATGGCTGCCTCTCTATCTCATGGGAGGGGAAGGGGCCTTCCTGCCTCTCCAGCCTTCTCAGAGGAGCAGGAGGGGTGACTGCTCCTGTCAGCCAAGAAGTGCTGCATACACAAGGCATGACAGTGTCACAGCCAGGTGTGCCTGAGGGAGGAGATGCAGGAAATGACACTTGCAAGATGGTGGCTCTTGGCCATAAAGCAAAGATGGACAGAAATTAGCAGCTCCCATTTATGGGGAGAGGGGGGACTTCCTCATGGGATGTGCACCACTGTAAATGGAAGGGATGGCTTATGCCACTGGCCATTGCTGAACCACCATGTGCAGGTAGGATAAATGGAGTGTGTAACTGGAAGTGAGGAGGCACTTTCAAGGAAAGTGAAGTGTGATGGCTGCTGGCATGGACTTGCCTGTCACCAGTTTCCATGGATAGCAGTTGCCTTTGGTAATATAGTAGCACTGTGGTCAGATGCACAGACTAGTGTTCACTAGAGCATGCTGAAGGATAGCTCCCAAGAAATGAAAAATGCACTTGGCGGTGGTGTATGCGTTGTTCTCCACAGGAAAAATGTAAATCTCCTCTGATCAGGGCAGTGAGTTGAGGGAGAGAGATCATGACTGACTATTAGCAGAACATCTTCCGTTAATTGTGTTCTTACTGATACAATCAAGCTGTTGTAATTAATAGCAGATAACTATTCACTTGTTCATCTACTTATAGGTTTGCCTTTTACCTGCTCTAAGCAGCAGCTGGGAGATCAACCCCTGTGTTCGTACTGGCACAACAGGGGATTTGATGTGGGTGTTTGGAAAGTCCCCTAGTGAAGCCAAGTAGTGCTTGGGTGTTCAACAGCCGGGAGCTGGTTGGTCTTTGGGAGACTGTTAGACACTTCCTTTCAGGAAATGACTTTTCTCCTTTTAACCTCCCTTTTCCTGCTCGTTGTTCTGCTCTCCACACCCGCAGGTCCCTCGGGAGTTCGTTCCCACACACTCGGAGTGGCTGTCGCAACATCCTGACTTCTGGGCAGAGCTCTGTGCCCTGAGTGAGCTGGTAGGGCAAGGCGGAGCAGTTGGAGGCTGCAAAAGGAGCACAACGCCAGGAAATTGTGTGATGGGCTGAGCCTACAGATCAAGTATTAAATGCATCTTTTTAAGGCACTTGACTGCAAGGCAGGGAACATATGTGTACAGTGGTAGGAGCTGTAGTTTCTACTTGTATTTGAAGGGGCACTAACTTAGCAAATGTGAAGAGAAAGCACTTGCATGGAAACTCTTGCATGTTTATTCTCTCTAGGGATGCTTCAGCTTCTATGTGAGAAGGAGAAATTACCTCTGGGCTAGAAGGTAATTTCACAAAAGAACTGCTCAGCCTAGTCCCTGAGAACAGCTCCCAGAGGCCACTAACTGAGGTAAGAGTTTGAATGGCAGTTCTGGGCTCTCAAATTTTTCAGAGAACAGGGTTGAAGATTGTGGGAGATCTCTGGGAACCCTCTGAGAAACTAGAGCACTTGCTGCTGCAGCCAAGGAGAGCTGGGTGCAGCTCCAGGAGGCCTTAACTTCTGAGAAGCTGAGGTAAGATCTAGCTCCTCCTAAGGAGTTCAGAGTGCCTGTGATCAGAGGGAGCTGCAGCCTCCCACTCTATGCTCAAAAAAAAAAACCAAAAAAGGCACTTCTAGTCACACTGTTCACCCACCCACCAGCCTACCAATAAGTGTCTGTCAGGTTCTGCCCTGCAAATTTACTGTGCAATGTACAGGTGTAAGTGTGTGTGTATATATATATGTAAAAAAATAGGTGTAGGATTCAAGGATGTTGATGGCATTACTATTAAAAGGGGGTGGGATTTGTGGATGCCTTTTAGCAAGGTTTGTATATTTCCTTATACAGACAGTAAGGATCGACATTCAATATATTTTGAAACAAGACCACATCTTATGATTATTCTAGTAAGTTTGGAGGTTTTTTCAAGACTGTAAAGAACAGAAGTGAAAACACTGTAAGTTAAAACCTGCCAACAGGCTTCTGCAAGATAGTCTCAAAAGTTTCTGTTCAGATATGTATACTGTGTTTTTGTTGTATTCTGAGGTAATTCCTTAAACTGCATTTTAAAGACCTTTCAAAAATGTAGTTCATATGCTCAATGTCCATCATTACCTCTAGTGGAATCCAATTTTTGTAAGCTTTGTTTTGACTTTCAGCTTTATGACTAAAAATATATGAAAAAAATACCACTGTCTTGCAATATAATGTATATTGTATTCTATTATTTAAAGTTTTTTTGAAGAATTATTTCATGTAGCATAAGAGGATTTCTGCTATTTTCCTGCTGCCTCTATCAGGGGATACAGCCTGGAGAGGGTCAAAACTCTTGGCTAGGACAATAGTGCTCAAGTGACCGTGAGGAAATTGAAGTAACTCGATTAGCCTGGATCTACTAGGATTAGTACCTCTTAACCACTCAGTATTGCCACTAAAATGTTCAAGATAAGGATGAAATTTGTTATGTTTCAAAAGGTTTCGTTCACTTTTTGACAAAAGCTTCCTAGTGGTTACTCATCCCTTCAGCGGGGCAGGAGCACTGGCAGAGCGCTAATTTATCCCCCACTGCCCTAGCCAGCATTTTTATCTGCATCCTGTTTAAGGCTTCTCTGAGCAGCTGCCTTGCTACCTGAGAGGCCTATCTCCCTTACACAAATAGTAGCACTGGTGCATGTCAGAAATTTTCCACAAAGTTTTGCTTTGGTGCAGATCAGCAAGCTTTAGGACTGAACTTTTCTATGTTACACTAAAACTTCTTAAAGCAGCCTCCAAATCAATGGTTATATTCAAAGACGTTATGTAACCTGTGCTGGTCTTGTGCACAGTCACAAAATCACAGAATGGTTGAAGTTGGAAGGCACCTCTAGAGATCTAGTCCAACCTCTCTGCTCAGGCAGGGTCACCTAGAGCACATGGCACAGCATAGCATCCAGGCAGGTTTGGAAGATCTCCAGAGAAGGAGACTCCACACCCTCTCCGGGCAGACTGTTCCAGCGCTCTGTCACCCTCACAGGAAAGAAGTTCTTCCTCACATGGAGGTGGAACTTCCTCTGTTTCAGCTTGCACCTCTTGCCGCTTGTCCTGTCACTACAGGCCACTACAGAGAAGAGGTTGGCCCCCATCCTCCCTACATCCTCCCCTCAGATATTTGTACGTATTGATCAGATCTCTTCTCAATCTTCTCGTCTCCAGCCTAAACAGGCCCAGCTCGCTAAGTCTTTCTTCACAAGAGAAATGCTTCAGTCCCTTCCTTAATCATCCTCGTTGCTCTGTGCTGGACCCTCTCTAGAAGTTCCACGTCCCTCTCATACTGGAGCAGAGCTGGAGTGAGCACAGCAGCATTCTACTCCTCTTCTCCAGCTAGGGGCAAGTGTCCAAAGAAAATATGCAGACAAGAATTTCCAGGCTTCAGCTCTAGGACTGGTGCTTGCTCTGCCCTCTGCTGGGTGCCTGTTGTGCGGCCCACTTAACTCACACTAGCGTCTCTTCAGCATGCCCCAAATTCACCCACTGCAGCTCTCAAGCCACCTGTTCTTCACGTCTTCTCTTTAGTGTCACAGGGGCTGCTGCTCCTTAGGGGGTGCTGGGCACAAAACCGTGGGCAGGAAGGCTGCCTCCACGTACTGCTCCTCCTGGTGCTGACGGCCACAGACGGGTAGGCGGTAGCCTTTCACTTTCGATTTTACCCTCAGTTAAATTTTAATCAAATGTACTTGAAGGAACAACATAAGCTAAAAGCCCATCCAAACCTCAGTTAAATGCACACTGTGGCACCCACAAGCACGAGACAGTGTTCATCGCAGCTGTTTCTTCCCCTACAGACTAGGTTTGTAGCTACTCACATGTTCTGTTGTGGATAAAGAAAGAAAAGCTATACCAGTCGTCACCACTAGCTCCATGAAGGAAGTTTCTTCTTTACTCTCATCTCATGCACCGAAGTTATTTCAAGTGAGCTGCCTTTTTTTAATCCCCAAAAATGATCTTTAAGGCTGCAATGGTACCTCGGCTCCTGGCATAGCAATCATGCTCAGTGCTGTTTAAGTAAGTTTTTAGTGAAGTGCTAAAATAAATAGTATAAATACTTAATTCCGGTATGCTGGATATAAACCTAAGCATAATTTCCTGAAATAAATAGTATAAATACTTAATTCCAGCATGCTGGATATAAACCTAAGCCTAATTTCTTTTTCTTTTCGTTTTTTTTTTCAGGTGTTTGAGATGCTGTAGTTGCAGAGCAGAGTGGGTAGAGGCTGCTAGCAGCTATCTGAAGGCAGCTGATGAGAGATAAGATGTGATAACATGCCTGGGTTGGTGTGTCCTGGAAAAAGGGGATAGGATAAGTAAGAGAAAGCACCACAGCAGTTGCCAGTACCCCTGGATTTGCCTGTTTCACCTCTGCCATAGTCTCCCTGGGCATCCCCCCCACACACGATTTTGGCCCTGTTGTTTTGTGCTGCCCCCACCTCTTGGTCATCTTGCACACACGTGGGCGCCCATGGTGAGGGATGCTTGAGCAGGACCTGCTTCTTCACTCACGCACATTTCCTGCACTGGGGCCTGACAAATAACTGTGATTTCTCCCGCCGTCGGTTGTTACTCTGCAGCATGATTCTATTCAACACTGATTATTCAGAAGACTATTTGGAAAAGGGCAGCATTTTATGCAGCTGAAATTTTAACCACTCAGCAACTGGCCTCCTTGTCCACAGTTTTGAAATTAGCTTTAAATTCTTCCGCCCCACCCCACCCCGGTTTGTGTCCAAGCTGGATAATGAAGCAACAACTACGATTGTCCTGAACACTCGCTAATAAAGAGAGGAGAGCAGCAGGGCACCATCTACCACCCAAGAAGCTGCTTCCACAGAGGGAACAGCTTGAGATCGACTCACTCACGACTGGCCCAGCTTTACCAGTCTTTCTGTGGGGCTACAAACCAGGGTCAAATTCAAACGAACACATAGGAAAACAAATCAATCAAGCTTAGCGGCATCTCGTTTTACTGGTTAACAACAAAATCCTTTTGTTTTTTTGTAAAAGAATCAGCTCTTTTTTTAAAAAAAAGTCTCCTCTTTTGAGACTAGGTGGTGCTTATGTAAAAGTGGCATGCAGTATGGACAGTAGAGTTAAAATACCTCAGATAATCTGAGGCCACTCAGACAGAATTGAATTCAGCCCACAAATTGAAGAGTAAACTAGACGGATCACTGCAGGGACTGTTTTGTTAAAGACTAAATTAACTTCTGATTCAGCAGAGCATCTTCTCCCTACTAGCATGTCAAGTTAGACTCAGTTCTTTAAGAGAGTTAGTGAACTTTTCTAAAGTCTCTTTGAAGGACTTCATCAAGTAAGTTCCCAGTTCGTTGTTTGTCTCCTCAACGGCCGCGTCGTAGCTGCCGAAGAGCGGCGTTGAAGCCTTCACCCCCTCCTTGTTTCCCTGCAGTAAGATGCGTTTGAGCTCCTCTGCTACCCCATCATATTTCTGGCGATCGAAATTGCAGAGGTTGGCGTCATCGATCGGGTAGGTAGTGCCAATCGGGTAGCAGTCCTTGGGGACTGGGAACTCCACGTTTTTCAGCATTGGCAGCTCACAGAAAAACCTGAAAAGGTGTTTAAGTGCTTCAGATGACAGGGGGTTTCCAAGAAACTTAAACTCCTGCAGTTTCCGACAAGGGCTTAAACCAAGAATCAGCATGTTGACGTGGTTGTCCTGGATGTTACACTCCTCCAGGATGAGACTCCTGAGCACCGACGAGGAATGGCAGAGAAGCTTGAAGAACGTCGCCGGGTAAAGGTCAGGAATATTGTGCCCGCTCAAGTCCAGGACTTCCAAGTGATTCGAGTGGAGGCTGTTGGCTAAATAGGCCATATCAGCATGGTTCAGGGAGCAGTTGGAAACGTCCAGCACCTTAAGTGGCGTTTTCAAGGGGCTGTAGATTTAAAGAGAAGCAAGTTTTATGGCATAAGATACTGGCAAACCATGTTCACAAAATTTCATACATCAGCCTGCATTATGAATGCAACGAAAATACCACAATTATTATTTGTTCCACTCTCTTTTGCAGAACAGAAATGTGTACAAACAAGGCCGTGTATAATTTGCTCCTGAAATCAGTTCTCTGATTAGCCCCTTCCTTCCTGCCACGACTCCATCAGTGCTGTTGTCACAGGGATTCATTTAACAACATCCTATGCATCCAGCTTGTAATAGCAACCACGCTGCTGCATGTCCATTACTGGCAGAACTAGGAGCAGCTCATTACTACCACAAAAACACTGGTGGCTTCTTCTTTTCAAAAGCTGACATAATTCCAGAGATACAGATCATTTCTGTTAAGGAAAGGGACTCATGTCAAGACAAAAGCCAATCCCTCTTCTAAACAAACTAACAAAACATAAGGTTTTGATCCTGGGCTTGTTTCTGCTGTATGTTTTTAAATGTCTATCAAATTTAGGAGTTTCTTTGCTTTGGAGTCACAGAGATCCCTGCTGAAGAAGGTTGGAAGAAGTGTATCTGAGATTACATGCAGCTTTCTCATTTAGTATAAATTAGTAGTGACAAACAAAAATCACAAGCAATTTCTTTTATGCATAGTGATGCTCAGTGACAGTCTGTAGCTGGATCAAGGTGAGAATCTCATCATTAATTGCATTTGTGATATGTGCCATTTGTGATACATAAATTAAATGTCCCTCTGCACAGGAAGGATTTTTTTAGATCAAGATGGTTCCTCTTGATGAAAGTTTTCATTGCCTTTGTTTAAATGCTTTGAAAAGCAGACCATTAACTTCTCTTTTCAGGTAAAATATGAGCACTTCACTGAGGGCTTGTTACCCCTTTGAAAATGGAAATTCTTTTTTCCAGCTCTTCACCCAGACTATTCACAGGTGAACTCAATTTGCAGTATGCGAAAGCCCCTGAGCCTTATCGCCTTGAAACTGCCAAACCCAGTTTACAGCTGAAGTCAAAGTCTCAAACCCAAGTCTCATTTCCTCCTGCTCATTCAAAAATACCCTGTCCGTGGAATCCTGGCAGTTACTATTGTCAAGAAAGCTAAAGTCAAGAACAATGAAAACATTCCCTAGGGATGCTTCCTAGGACTCAGGATAGGACTCAGGACATGCCCAACAGGCCCACCCGGCTCACTGGGGCTACAAGCTCAAGAAGGTGGCAAGTCAGGACCTCTGTGTTTACCCCTCTCCCATGGGGTAGCTGTGAGCATATTCTCATATTCAGCAGGTGGCCCCCCCAAAGACTGATACTCAGTTCAAGCTATTTACAGGCATTTGAAGGGCATTAGACACACAATGCTTGCCAGTTTCCCACAACAAATACTCTTTCCTAACTTGCCACCCTTTCATTTAATAAGACTTTCCTGATGAAAGCATTTGCTGCAGATGATAAACACACACAATGCTTGCCAGTTTCCCACAACGAATACTCTTTCCTAACTTGCCGCCCTTTCATTTAATAAGACTTTCGTGATGAAAGCATTTGCTGCAGATAAACGTCCCCTCGACTCCCCCTGCCCCTGGATCCGCTTTCCCTAGGAGCCCCTGAGGTTAATGTGCTGATGACACTACGGGTTTTTCCTTGCAGCCTGGCTGACAGCAGGAAGACCAAATTACCTGAGCAGTTTCCGTATTCTTCCCGTGAGGATGGAAAAGGCCATGCTCAGTTCAGTCAAATGTGTCATTTCACTCAGCTTTTCCCCAACGGCAGAAAGCACCAGCTCGTCCGCAGCCGTCAGCCGCCGCACGTTGAACGTGCGTGCTGGCAAGGTCAGCGACGCGAGCAGGGGGAAGCGGGTGCGACTGAAGAGGATTTGCAGGTGCTCCATTTCCAAGCGCACGTTGTGAACCACTTCCAGCTTGCGCAGCAGGGAGGGATCCATGAGCTTGACGATGTAGAAAAACTTCTGCAGAGCCAAGTTGTCAGCCCTCAAGGCCACGCAGTGGATCTTCAGCGGGCAGGAGCGCCTGGTGAGCAGGGCCTGCACCACGAGCTCGTAGTTGCGCTCAGTAACGAACAAGTCGACGAGGACGTCGATGCTGATCTCCGCGGCGCCCGGCCCCCGCTGCACTCCTTGTGCGTGGAGCAGCAGCTCTAAGCAGAGCTTTGAGAGCAGCTGCGTCCTCGCCCAGCGGCCCATCGGCTTCTTGCACTCACAGAACTGAACTTCAACGTCCTTTATGCCTGTCAGGTCCACCACCTTCAGCCTTTTCAGGTAGGGGGAGGGAGGATGCAGCACATAGTCCCTGAGCCCGGTCAGACAGCTTTCCAAGCACACCACGCACGTCCTGTGGCTCAGGTCCTCCTGGTAGTCAGCCGTTTTGCCCAAAAGTTTTCCCATGTTCAAGTCCACAAGTGGCCAGTTCTCCACCAGGTCATGAATCACTTCCCCGCGCTCCAGTAAATAGCTGGCTTTGAAAAGGAGAGGGAAAAGGTTATGAGCGACACTGCCGAGGCTCCTCCTCGCGAACGCTGCGTTTGACACGAGCGCTTCAGCACAGATGAACCGGAGCGACTTCATTGCTGCTTTGGTCTCCTCGCTGTGGTGGAGGCAGACTTCGGGAGGGAGCTGGAGATCCTCATTGCGTCTCACCTTCTATTTTTATCTGCAGCTGCTGTTTGTTACTAAGGATGGTTGGTCTAGGAAGTTAAAACGCAGTCACATGCTGATCCTCTTTCTATTTTGGTGCGAGACAGCGATTCTGCAGGCGAGCTTGGTCCAGGCAGCAGTTATTCATTTGCACCTTTCTGCTTAAAACAAAGCAAATTCAGCTGAGTCCAGCTCCCTCGCCATCAGGAACAAAACGATCAGGGCAGCCCATTCAGAGTAAGAGTATTTTTGTGTCTATTTATCTGCCTTATGCCATAGAAAAAGGAATGCAGGGTTCCAACTTATACAAGTAATGTGATTTGTATTCCACTTTCTTTGAAGAAATAGGATTTGCTCAGATGAACCAAATAAATAGAATTATTTCCTGGGGATTCACCTATGGGTTTCAAGGGGAAAAAAAATCTCAAAATTTAGCACATAACTTCTCGTCAAAGCCATAGTCACAAAGAGAGACTGACCTGCTACCAGCACAGAGCTACAAATCTCTCCATTTGCTCTTCGCTGCCACATGGAATGGAAGAATATTTGAAACCTAACATATCTTCAGGCCAAGAGAAAGACATCTCTCCCCCAGCCGCAGCAAAAGCAAAGTAGGCTTCTCTCCTGAAACCCTGCACTTCCCTATCGAGAGAAGCAATATTGGGTAGATCCCTCATGGTGCTGGCCCCTGCGTCCTGCTGGGCCTTTCAAGTGCTAGCACAGCACGTGGCCTGGAGTCACTCTGAACAGATAGCCCTACTTCAGGCTTTTGGTGTACATATTTTTATCTCCCCTTAGCTGCTGAGCGAGCACTAGCAAGACAGCCCTGTAAACATCTATTTTCTGAGCACAACGGTCAAAAATAATAAGTTTAAATGGCTTCAAAGTGTTTATACTCCCAACTCACATCCTCCATTCCCCGACCACCGTCCTATTTGCCTGCCACCTTCTGCAGGTGACCACCCCTTCTTCTCCATTAGGCTTCCCGCTTCCCAGATCCTTGGATCCTGGGGCAAGCAGCCAGGCTGGACCAACTGCCTCTGTCCTGAGCTCATCCACAGAACAGCTCCTATCAGCTTGACTGATCAGAGCTCTGGGTCACTCCTCACCTTAGCACCAGAAACATTGAAGACGGAGAGTAAACTCCTGCTGAGAAACACATCAGGATACCACAGCACCATGCTGAGCTGGAAAATGAAGTTACAGAGGGTAGCAACAAATGTAACAAAGAAAGAAGGATTTCATTTATTGTTTCATTAAAAAAAGAATAATGGAAAAGTCTGAAGTAAAAAGAAGTGACACTGTCTTTCCAAGCAAATGAGCAATCATGTTTTCTTATATAAAAATGGTTACAAACATTTTTTTTTCCTCTATAAATGTTGCCTTATTCTAGTAACAATCCAGGTCATACTACCTCAGTTTATTCTGAACTTTTAGAATGATTAGAAGACACTAAGTAATTACAGTATAAATTGTGCATATATTTTACTAACTGGACATTTAAATTTTGGAAGGTAATAAAACTATATTTACAAAAATTTCAAGAAATTTGTACATTTTCTTTTTATACAGGAATCAGTTATTTAATGCAATTTTCAACATTTACAAAATTACACAAAATAATATAACATCTACCCTATCTACCCTGTAATCTGCCATATATGAACTGCAGGTTAAAGCAGAAAAAAATGCTTAATATTTAGACAAGTTCTATCTATTTCATTTTACAGTCTTTTTACTGAAATCTGTGATGCTTTTCATCTATTTGAAGGCAAAACTATGCTCATGAAAACAAATATATATATACATGCAGAAAGAACAAGATTCCTCAGAATGACAGACAATGTTAAACATGTCCCTTCTTTGGTTGTTTAAAGATTTGAGGATTTTTCTCTTGCTGTTTATAAGATACTCCACAACAAATTCACTTCAAAATAATTAAATCCATGAAGTGTGGCAGGGATTTTTCACAGCAAAACTGAGGTGGGATTATGTGGAAAAGTAGGATCAGCACCACTTGAGAAAGTCTTCATTGTCATGCGAATCAGAGCTGTCAAAACAATTATTATTATTAAACATTTAGCATCTTATTTAAATTGTAAAATACATAGCAAATCACTTTAAAAAAATTAACTAAAAATAGTGTTCATGATAATCTAACCGTTATGGTGTACTGATTTTGTGTTCAAATGTGACATTAAATATTACATTCATTCTGTCAGAATACAACATTTTTTTCAGTTACTACAAAATGCATCATACCAGAGTAAAATGTTTTCATCAAGTGGAGTTTAATAGGTTTCTAACCTTTAAAAACAGTGAATTTGAAATGGAAGTATTTCATGATAAACTAGGTGGTTTTCAAGTTACTCTGGCTTAGGCTAGCACTGTGAACCTCACAACTGTCATTCTAATGCATCAAGAAACTCGCTTTGCAATGGATTCAGCTCTGAAGAACTTCACTTTTACAATCCGGGGACATGGCCTGGATTCCATCTCTCAGCAGACAACTAGAGAATACAACATTTGAAATGAACTGTCCTGTTAAGACCACTGCTTCCTGCATCAATATTGCAGTGCTGCTTGTGTTCCAATTAACTGCAGTATCCAAAGTTTTTCCATTAAAACACTGCAGATAGATAAGCAATGAGTTATTTGCACGACATTCCCAGCATCTGGACTTCAAGAGACCCAGGCATTTGTTTAATACTGGCCTGTTTCTAAGATACCATAGATATTCTAAGACAGAAAGAGGGGCTTTTTGCCAGCACCACAGTACTTACAGCTGTAACATATTGACTGTTGTACTTTGATCTGGGATTCTTCTCCGGGAGAACAGGAGACATGCACTGCGAGGAGTGTTTGGAAGTGGCACTTGAAGCACATTCATCCAGAAACATCTCTGTGGGAAGATGGGCCTCAGAATGGGCAGAAGTACTGCAACCACTCACGCTTTCCCCTGAGGTGCACTGAGATGATTCTGAGCTCTCTGTGACTACAAACGGGAAGAAAAAAAAAAATGTATCATACACCAGCACAAACTACCTCAGCACATCATGGGAAATAAACACCTACTTTGCAAAATCTTATGGCCCTAAACTGAACATAAACCTCCAAAGACAATCTGGAGGTTAACAACAGAAAAGACAATAGTGTTTGACTTGTATTATTTACCTGTTTAACTCCATACCCCTGAACACTGATGAAACACTGTCACTACAATGCATGTACTGCAAAAGCAAATGTGGAGGATGGTGGTGGTTTTGGAAAGCAGGAATCACATGGTGCCTCAGTGTGGCATGGGGATCATGTCACCAACTCTGCCCAGGCCTGAGCAACAGAGGTGCCTCTGGAATGCACCAGGTAACATCTTTGTTGCTGCAGCTACCTGATATATAGTTAATGGAGCAATGATATAACTTAAAGTCAGAACTCATAATTCATTAACACATAGTTGTGCTACTCAGTGTCTCCAAATGTGTCACCTGATGGATATATGCAGCCAGCTGAACAACCTTACCATGTGAAAAATACCCTTTTCAGCAAAATGTTGACATCCACTTACTCATTGAAGGCTGGCTTCCCGTTTCCTGCTCCAGGTCATCTTCCTCAATGCAGCTTCTAATATCGTAAGACCAGTGGTAGGAGGGTAGCCCCAGCAGGCCTGAATGGGATGGGCTGGAGCAGACGTGCAGGTTCAGTGACCCCAGAATAGATGAGGATGACTGGCTGCCAGAAGAAGATGTGCTGCTACTAGAGATGGTAGAATGTGGTCTCTTGAATGGTGTGGAATGGTCAAATGAGGACACTGCTATTGATGCTCGAGATCTTGACTCTGTAAAAACAAGGCATTTTGGCCATTAAGGAAAAAGTGGAGGGGATGTTATCTTGAAAACAAGATCAGAAATAACACCAAGAATCACATGTGACCAAATATTACCTCCTGCTCAAAACAATCTTAGTAAAGTGAAGAGAAGCTAAATTCTTCTGAGTTCCTTGCTGCTCTTCTGACAAGGGAAGAAGAAATGCAGTGGTATTGCAGAAAATATGAAGTGTCTGTATGGCATGGATAATACACATCATACCTGTTCCCTTCATGAGGTAATCAATTGCTCGATCGCTTATGGCTGCTTCGCTGGGTTTGATATCCATGAAAGGTTTATTGCCTATTCCCATGGACACCATCTCTTGTATTCGGAGTTCTACAAGGGAAATCGTACACACATGACTATTGGGCAGCTCTTCGAAGATTTACTTAAGAAATAGAGTATCTTAATCCACCAGGCACTTCCTGAAGGTACTGACAGGATGATTGCCTTCCAGGCATTTATTAAGCACAATACAGCAGGACCAAGTCTTCTTGAACCTCACTGCTTTTCTGTTATTTCTTCAGGATTGTAAAAAGAATTCAGGGATGCTGTTCTGTCCGTGTAACTCCCACTCAGGCCCATGCTGTCACCAACACAACTGAACCTTTCCCAGCTACTTCAGTCTTATTACAAACACTTGCTCTGTCATCTATTAGCAAGCTAAGCACTGCTCTTAAAGGGAAACAGTATAATGATTTTTCCCATTTTAGCTTAAGTCAATGTTCAAGACATTACATTTCCCCAGTCAGCTAATTAGAACTTTAATTAAAGTGGAAAAAAAGCTCACTTACCCTCAAAATAAAATGGAGGAATCTAAAAAATGCTTCTAAAATAAAAATTATAATCACCCTCCACTGTACACACACCAATTTCTTTGTGACTGCTTTATCGACAGCTCAGAAAACAGTTCCAGAAAAGAATGGAAATTATATTCTTTCTTCATGCTTATAAAGAAGGCTTAAAGCTAAAGTAGCATTTTATTTCCCATTTTTCTAACAAAACATTTTGTTTCTGAGACGATGGAAGAAGGAAAAGTGAATTTTTGAAGTTCCATTCTGTCTTTTTTTTTTCTATAAGACTGCAGAACAAAAAGAACTGAGGATGAATAAGCTACAAGAGTTCTTACTTCTAAAAATATGATGGCATTTCATGACATTTAAGATAACAGAAAATGATCAGGGATGTGGTGGCTCACTGTGGGGTCAGATAAGCACAGACACTGATGCAAAGAAGGTGACAGAAGAGTGAAGAGGAAGCTGTTGGGTCAGAAGGCTCCTTTTCCCTTCCAGAGAAAGGAGTACTAAACCAATATGATTATCTTGCCTAAACTCAATCTCAGTTTTGAAAGATTTAAAATCTCTGCCCTTCAGTTAAGTGGAGGAAGTGACTACCTTGTATATATGACTGTTGATATCAGGAAAGAACAAGCCCTCACATTTCTGAAATTCAGTTGCTTTCCTAATTTTTGCTAGTGTGAATATCTCTTCAAAAGAAGTCTTGATCAGATTAGCCAGAACCAATTTCTAGTCCTGCAGCTTACCTCTTAACAAGCATCATTACTAGCTATAGCAATACTAAAACCAGCCCTCTACTTTAAACAGGTATCTGAAAATAAAAACTTTCACATATTTGAGTGTGGCATTTAAAAATAAAATATCTCCCATACTTAGGTAACTTAAGGTCCTAAATAATTATTTTTAAATGCCATTTACTGAAGGTGTTTTCTAGTGTGGTTTGTTTAACGTGAAGATTGTTGTTGGCTTAAGATATGTAAGATCCATTTTGCCCCGTGAGAAGTCAATCTGTCCACTGGAACAAGAAGTTACCTGTTGAAACACCCTTACACATTTTGCATACCTCGATTCCTCAAAGCCTGTCTCCAAAGGATCTTTCCTATGATATCAGTCCATGCAATTTTAATTTCTGCTGAGCTTGCTTGAAGGATGTATGTATCCTGGGATCTTCTCCTCCGTCGAAACCAGATTTCAAACCTCAGACCACTATCTCCAACATTTTCTGTCATTCCAATCTCGGCAGTCTGAAAAACAATGCAATGGTTACGACAACTGCGGCATGCCAACTTCCTTATGTCATTCATTTTAACTGAAAAACCTGCTCGTCTTGATTTCTTGGCAATGGAGCTCTGAGTGCTTCCAGCTGCCTCACTTTTGCAAGGTCAGCAGTTTGTGTTATATATAATCTCTTCCTAAAGAGATCTGTTCCTGAAGAGTTTGAAAACACAGCAGTGCTGCTCCAAGAGGAAGCACGCAGCCTTTAATGGTCAGAGACAGTTAGTTCAACTGTCTGTAACCCCGGCTGTAGTAGCTGAGTCACAGTTCTGCTTCTTCTAGTTGAAGACATATCAGCTGGCTTCAAACGTGCAACATAAACTCCAGCTACAGTCCCAAGACTCTACAGCAGTTTTAGCAAGCACATAAAGTTATGCGTATCTGCAAAAATACTGGCAAACCAGGATCCACAAAGAGTGGGCATGGCTGATTCCTTAAACCAGGTGATTGCAAATTTGGACTTCGCATATTCCCAAACGCTCCTTGCTAATAACACACTCAAATGTTTTGTGTGTTTTACGCATTTACACCATAAGATAGGTAATGCAATCTGCATATTTTGATTGCTTGGATATTCCTCAAACATTGAAAGAACAGTTTCTTTATTTTTTTCCGTTGAAAAATAGTTCAAAATGAATTGTAATGCAATTTACAGTTGGATGCTATTTCCTTTATGCTGTACCGCTGGAGAAGAACATAGCATGTTCATGGCAGGCTATTGAGAAAGGAGCATTGCACATTAGACACATTCATCTAATAGATTTAGCTTACCTTGAATGACTGTTTGTACATATAGATGTCATATCCCCCATCAATCTTTTTTGTCTTGCTAAATAAGATAAGATCTTCAAAGAGGAAGACATGCCTCAGATATTTCTTTCTTCCACAGCAAACGATAAACTCATCCTGACATCGCAGTTGCCCTTGCTCTTTCAAATTGACCTGTTGAGGGAAAATGACAGAGTTGAGACCGGGAAGACAAGGTGGTACCGATTTCACCATGTGCGAGGAAGGAGGAGAGGACAGAATGTCTACCTCAGACATGCAAATAAGCCCAGCCACAAGTACATGTGGCATAGCTCTAGAGACACGTTGTTCCAGAATGAGCCAGCAAAACCAAATTTGCACAGCTGATTTATACAGAGTAATGTGAATGTGCTAAACTTTCAAATCTGTGCTAAACTTTCAAATCTGATCAGAGTGCTGAAAAGTTCTAGCATCCCTTCCTCATGCTCACATGCAATTCAAGAGCCACACAGCTTCTCAGCTACACAAATCCTGCAAGCAGAAGCATCTGAGTGTTGGCTTCCTTGGCACCACCTTCTTAATTAAGGTGTAGAGCACTGAGCACTCTGGGCTTTTGATCCATGAATGAGTCTTGCAGGCCCCAGAGCAGTACAAATCATATAGGTGGTCTAACACTACGTTATTTTTAGTAACATGCTACTTTGGAGTAAAATGTGCAACAGGATGTCAAATGAATAGCAAGGAACAGCTGCAAAATACTTACATCGCATCCTTGAATGGCATCCATAGCAAGCAGGTCATTTCCATGGCGTAGCTGGAATTTCACCATCTCCTCCGCAGCCCTCAGGTCACTGAGTTCCTGCTCCTGGGTCTTCTTACACTCCTTGATCATGTCCTTCAGAAGGAGTGCATACTTGCTCATTCTTTGAATGGGCTTCAGCAAATAGGAGGCCAAATCCATCTTATCACCCAGATTCTGTTGCTTGTTCTGCAGAAGTAACAGAAATTTGTAAATAGTGCTCAACTAGGTTTCCTGAACATCGTTAAAACCAGTAAGTGATGGTCATGCAATTTTCATGAAGGGAGAAGAGAGACAGTAATTACTTTAAAGAACGCATTTCCATGGCTGGTTAGCAAGGCATCTGACTGTGGCTTGTTCTTGCTGTATAAAGCATACATGCCAAATTGTTCCTCCTGAAAAAAAAAAAAAAAAAACAGGAATGATAGTCAGTTCCTTTCTGTCATCAGATTTCTTTCCAGTTAAAAGTAAAACTAACAATTCGCCATAAGTATTTTGGGAAGATGCGAGGCAATCAGAGTTTACCTAGGTTTCTTAAGTCTCGTTGTCAAGCATCTCACTAAAACTGATGCATTCTCCACTAATTCCAGTCAGCAGAAACTCGTTACCTTCTCAGAAGTACTGGAGAATGCATTGGAGTGTATACTTCAGAAGAAAAATCTAAATGGGCCCAAAATTAAACTGGATGGACAATAACCACATCACAGCAACTCATGCATCTCCAGCTGGAACATTACTTTACTTTTCATGAAGCATTCCATGCAGGAAACTTTGGGCTTATCGCAAATCTTAAGCACTAAAACTAGATGATTAGAAAGAGACACAGGGTGTGGAAGGGACAAAAGACGGTGTGTTTTCCTTTTGATGGCAAACAGTGCACCGAGAGACTCCAATGATACTAAACATGATGCTCAACAGGGGATGCAAACAGTAACCCCAACCCCGTTGTCTTTGTCAGGAGGCCTTGCTCCTTCAGTTGCTTGACCTATAGCACCCTAACTGTTCTAGGCACTTCAGAAGGTGCTACGAATTGTACCGTTGCCTTGTGGACAGGAGATAAGTATGAATTTGTGACATCAGAAAAATAAAATCTTTTACGGCAGCTGAGAGCCAGTTTCTGCCGATTCAATAATAACTAGCTTTGCTTTCATCCACTTTCTCAAAAAAAAAGAAAAACAAAAACAAAAAAAAGAGGAGGGGGGTGAGGCGTGAGGGTAGCATGGAGAGTTCAACATTTCGAGGCCAGCAATTCAGCATGGCAGGAAGCACTAAATTCTTGGCCGTATCACTCCTCTGTGGAGTTGCCAGCAGGCAGAAACAGATATGAGAAGCTCCAGCATTTCAGAAGGACCAGCGTTTCAGCGAACCCATGTTCCTCTCCATGCCCTTCTCTGGTTCACGTATGCCTGCAATTCCTACCCACGTTTCTGTACCTATTTAAAGTAAGGTTATAATTCTCCTAAGTCACCTTTTGCTCCAAAGCAAATCAAAAATCAAGACACAGGCATACTGTACCTGTCACACATACAATACCTTTTCTTATTAAAATTCAATTGCATTAAACACACAGTTGCATTTACCTCCATTTTGAAAGGAGGACCCTGCACTTTTACCCAGGTAGTGCCATTTGTCACGGCACAGCTTGAGAAACGCAGCTCAGTCAACACAGCAGAGCTGGCAGTCAGACTGCCTTGAAGGGCCTCTCCTCCTTTAAGGACATGACTTACATGTTTGAGGAAGCAGTGGCTGACGCATAGGGGGAAATCTCGGCAGCGCTCCAGCTCCTTTAGGAAGTATTGGCAATGGAAATCATAGAGCTTCTCCAGGTTCCCAAAGATAGTGTTCCTCTTCCCACGCAAATCCTGAGGTAAGTCAGTTCTTTCCATTTCTGGAAAATAGTTGTTGATGATATATCCTAAGGATCTAACATACTCCCTTTCTGTTGTGATCATCTCGTCCATTATATGTTGCACTTTGTTGCTGCAAGACAGAAACAACTGCTTAACACTGACAGGTTATTACAAGGTGCAGTCCATTGATTGATGTTTTAGCTTGCACTTTTTATTCATCTCTGCCCATTTTTGAGGGGAAAAAAACACCCTGGTATAGGCTGCTTAGCCACTTCTGAGATCTCTTGTCTTGGGTTACTTCTGGTTTCAATTATAACTTCCCTGTCTTCCTAAATGGGGCTGTTTTTCATGAACAAAACAGAGAACTGGAGCTGCTCCTATGAAAAGCGGTCATCAGAAAAGGCAAATATGTTTGATCCATGCTGAAGGTACTTGGCCGTGCTAGGCTCCACTATTGCATGTGCAAAGATTTCCTGATTTTTTTCATTCTTCCAGTCAAATTGGAAACACAGCAACATTTCCAGGTTGATAAACCAACCTGCAGTTGAATACTCCTGATTTTCCTCAAGCAACACATCCTCTGACAGCCTGTGAATCTCCTCCCAGAAAGCTGTTCTTAAGGCTAAAGCCCGTGGCCATTCTCAAGCTTAGGCCTGACCTACGGCTTCCAGCAACACTTGGGGCTAAAGAGGGTGCAGTGGAAAGTGAGCAAGGGAACAAGCAAAGGGAGAGGGGGATGGTGGAAAAGAGGATGCGATTTTTGATGAATGCAGATATTTTGACAAGACTGGAAGAAACCACATTTCACGGAGATAATGTATTTTCTTCGGAAAATGAAGGAAAGAAATAAATATATATTCATTTCCAATAACATTTCTCTAGCATCATGTACTTCATTTGCTGAAAATTGGAACTATCAAATCCCTTGTTATATTCAGTATTTTTGTAGAGTTCCTTCCTTCTCTGTAGTAATAATTCTTCAATAGTTAAAATATACAGCAATTTAGTATTTCTGAATAGTTAATAATGCAGAAATACATTTTCATTATAATAAATAGAATGTTATTAAATTAAAATAAAAACTATAAAAATATTAATTACAATAAAAATTGCTGCTGAGTAATTCTCTATCCCAACTACAGAATGCTTACTGATTTTTTTAAACACATGGTTGAGACAAATCTCATCAAGCCAAGAAATATTCATATTGCTAATATAATTCATTCACAAATCTTAGTCTTAAAGAGCTTGACTATCAATATAATTGGTATTTTTGTTAAAAGAGGAAATCTGTGTTTTTCAGTGGCTCTGGAAATGAACCTAGACCACTCCAGAAATGAAGGAGAACCCTGTAATACAGGTATAAAAAGCACCAAGGAAGGTACCAATTTTGTTAGGTCTAAGGCAATATTCAACTTTGCTTCTACTAAACTACAGGACAGGGAAAACTTTATTGTAAGTCATACTAGCCTAAGACTTAAAATTTTAATTAAAGACTTAAAATCAGTCTTTACATAAAGATCACTGCACTCTAATTTCATGCAAAACCACCTAAACGAAGACCTATGCATCCAACAAAGGTCTTTCCTCACAGACTATTAGGGTTTCTCATAATCCTAACATACAGGTTATTTCAAGAGCAGCAAATGCTGAATACAATCAGGCTTGAACTGCTACTCCACAACACAGTCACCTTCTCCTGCTTTGTCAAAATGTGCATTTGCAACTGATGAAGGAAAAGATATGAAACTTTGTTGTGGAATAAAATCATCAATTATGGAAGCATTGGGAAATAAGTTTCACTTAAAAGAAGTAATTTTTACATGTACCTAAGCCCTTCCATATGTACGTCAATTAGAATCTTTGTTAACCAGCTTCTTAAGAGCGGCTATAGCGAGCAGCACTTTCAGCAGTGTATTTATAGGAAGATGCAGAGCCCTGTCAAACTGTCATAAAAGCCTTCCAAAGCCCGTGGCCTTTGTTGTTCTACCTTCTGATCCAGGAAGGATGAACTTTTATAACACATGGCTACATTTGTAAAGAGATAAGGGCAGTTCTTCCTGTTTGCAGGAATGGTATCTACCAGAACAAGTAACGCTATGATCTGAAAACAAGTCTGAGATTTTGTAGTCTGTTACGAAAACTGGATCCATCTCAAAATTTATTTTGCAGGAGAATAAGGTAAAGTAACATCTTATTGAAAAAAATGGTACATCTAAATCACACACACACACACACACACACACAATAGTCATGTATTAAGTGAGGGTGCTGTGCTGCATCATTATTAAAAGCAGAAGGTACTAATTTATTAAAGACACACAGGTTCCTTCTAAATGACTGACTTCCATTTAAAACATATCACATAAGACATCCACTCTTGCACTAAGAAGTAACTTGAGCTTTCTAGAAGCGCGGAGGCCAGACTTATGGAAATCATAGAGCTTCTCCAGGTTCCCAAAGATAGTGTTCCTCTTCCCACGCAAATCCTGAGGTAAGTCAGTTCTTTCCATTTCTGGAAAATAGTTGTTGATGATATATCCTAAGGATCTAACATACTCCCTTTCTGTTGTGATCATCTCGTCCATTATATGTTGCACTTTGTTGCTGCAAGACAGAAACAACTGCTTAACACTGACAGGTTATTACAAGGTGCAGTCCATTGATTGATGTTTTAGCTTGCACTTTTTATTCATCTCTGCCCATTTTTGAGGGGAAAAAAACACCCTGGTATAGGCTGCTTAGCCACTTCTGAGATCTCTTGTCTTGGGTTACTTCTGGTTTCAATTATAACTTCCCTGTCTTCCTAAATGGGGCTGTTTTTCATGAACAAAACAGAGAACTGGAGCTGCTCCTATGAAAAGCGGTCATCAGAAAAGGCAAATATGTTTGATCCATGCTGAAGGTACTTGGCCGTGCTAGGCTCCACTGTTGCATGTGCAAAGATTTCCTGATTTTTTTCATTCTTCCAGTCAAATTGGAAACACAGCAACATTTCCAGGTTGATAAACCAACCTGCAGTTGAATACTCCTGATTTTCCTCAAGCAACACATCCTCTGACAGCCTGTGAATCTCCTCCCAGAAAGCTGTTCTTAAGGCTAAAGCCCGTGGCCATTCTCAAGCTTAGGCCTGACCTACGGCTTCCAGCAACACTTGGGGCTAAAGAGGGTGCAGTGGAAAGTGAGCAAGGGAACAAGCAAAGGGAGAGGGGGATGGTGGAAAAGAGGATGCGATTTTTGATGAATGCAGATATTTTGACAAGACTGGAAGAAACCACATTTCACGGAGATAATGTATTTTCTTCGGAAAATGAAGGAAAGAAATAAATATATATTCATTTCCAATAACATTTCTCTAGCATCATGTACTTCATTTGCTGAAAATTGGAACTATCAAATCCCTTGTTATATTCAGTATTTTTGTAGACTTCCTTCCTTCTCTGTAGTAATAATTCTTCAATAGTTAAAATATACAGCAATTTAGTATTTCTGAATAGTTAATAATGCAGAAATACATTTTCATTATAATAAATAGAATGTTATTAAATTAAAATAAAAACTATAAAAATATTAATTACAATAAAAATTGCTGCTGAGTAATTCTCTATCCCAACTACAGAATGCTTACTGATTTTTTTAAACACATGGTTGAGACAAATCTCATCAAGCCAAGAAATATTCATATTGCTAATATAATTCATTCACAAATCTTAGTCTTAAAGAGCTTGACTATCAATATAATTGGTATTTTTGTTAAAAGAGGAAATCTGTGTTTTTCAGTGGCTCTAGAAATGAACCTAGACCACTCCAGAAATGAAGGAGAACCCTGTAATACAGGTATAAAAAGCACCAAGGAAGGTACCAATTTTGTTAGGTCTAAGGCAATATTCAACTTTGCTTCTACTAAACTACAGGACAGAGAAAACTTTATTGTAAGTCATACTAGCCTAAGACTTAAAATTTTAATTAAAGACTTAAAATCAGTCTTTACATAAAGATCACTGCACTCTAATTTCATGCAAAACCACCTAAACGAAGACCTATGCATCCAACAAAGGTCTTTCCTCACAGACTATTAGGGTTTCTCATAATCCTAACATACAGGTTATTTCAAGAGCAGCAAATGCTGAATACAATCAGGCTTGAACTGCTACTCCACAACACAGTCACCTTCTCCTGCTTTGTCAAAATGTGCATTTGCAAATGATGAAGGAAAATATATGAAACTTTGTTGTGGAATAAAATCATCAATTATGGAAGCATTGGGAAATAAGTTTCACTTAAAAGAAGTAATTTTTACATGTACCTAAGCCCTTCCATATGTACATCAATTAGAATCTTTGTTAACCAGCTTCTTAAGAGCGGCTATAGCGAGCAGCACTTTCAGCAGTGTATTTATAGGAAGATGCAGAGCCCTGTCAAACTGTCATAAAAGCCTTCCAAAGCCCGTGGCCTTTGTTGTTCTACCTTCTGATCCAGGAAGGATGAGCTTTTATAACACATGGCTACATTTGTAAAGAGATAAGGGCAGTTCTTCCTGTTTGCAGGAATGGTATCTACCAGAACAAGTAACGCTATGATCTGAAAACAAGTCTGAGATTTTGTAGTCTGTTACGAAAACTGGATCCATCTCAAAATTTATTTTGCAGGAGAATAAGGTGAAGTAACATCTTATTGAAAAAAATGGTACATCTAAATCACACACACACACACACACACACACACAATAGTCATGTATTAAGTGAGGGTGCTGTGCTGCATCATTATTAAAAGCAGAAGGTACTAATTTATTAAAGACACACAGGTTCCTTCTAAATGACTGACTTCCATTTAAAACATCACATAAGACATCCACTCTTGCACTAAGAAGTAACTTGAGCTTTCTAGAAGCGCGGAGGCCAGACTTTAGGAAAATACTGGAATGCACAATTAAATGCATTCTGTCTAGTAGACTGTTAAGCATGGGCTAAACTTCAAGATTCTGTAGATTTGGCTAAATTCAAAATAGGGTTGGCTTGCTGATAGTTTGTTGAACTGTGGTCCTGGAAAACTACTGCAAACAACCACCATAAATAAAATAAGCTTTTGTTCAGGTACCAGGAGAAGCTACATGCTATGTTGTTTTGCCCAATTAGGACCCTGAAATGATGATGAATTTGACTTCAAGGCAACTCTCCTTTGGTGAAAGTCTGTGTTAATCAAGGGACAATTACTGAATTACTAATTCAGCAGGGATTAACAGAAATACATTCTGAAAAAGAAAGTAGATTTTTAAGAGCTTTCATTTTTGGTGCACACTTTTATATGCACACTTTTATTTACTAATATTGATTTAATCTTTCTTCTTCAGAGACAGCACTGGTCAAATGCTCAACCTGCCAAGCTACAATATCCCATAGAGGGAGAGGTTTTCCCAGAGAGAGAGAAGAGAAGGAGTTCAAGTCTGTTAGGAGATAAAAAGAGCGAGAGGAGTTAGTAGAGAAATTCAGATTAAAAATGCAAATTTAATTGAATTTCACCTCCTGCTCCCAAGGGGTAAAAATTGAAGCACAGCTGTAAAACCTAGGCAGTTTAAATCTTGAATTCCCCACAGTTTCTGCTCAGTTCTTGATTTCAGTGAGATTTTTCACGAGTTTAAAACAAACAAAAGTTTATTAATTACCTCTATTGTTCCCTCAACAAATGTAACTTAGAAAATTAAAACGACACAAAAGCATTTCTCTTAGAACTAAGAGCACTTCCACTTTCTGTCATGCCTTTTGATCGTTACTTTTTAAAAAGCATTTTTTTTCTCTTCACTTTAATAGAGACTATGGTGTAATCATTTCTCACCTTCCACTTCTTTTCTTATCCTCTTCTTCCATATGATGGATCCTTGAGGGGGAGGATAAACTTCGGTTTCTACTTATCAAAGGGCTTCTACTACTCAAACGTTGCACGTATTTTGTTTCATTGGCACTATTACTGGCAACCTCGAGTCCTTTGATGTGCACTCCTGTGTAGCCACGGTGCTGAAATTCACTGGGGTTGCTTTCATGCTGACTAAGTTCAAAACTTTGCATCTTCTTCATTACTTTTTTGTGGGGTTGCTTCCTGTGGTGGGTAGGCGGTGAGCGGATGGGCTCAGCACCCGATGAAGCTGAGCGCCCACTGGAAACGCTGTCTACGTCCTCTGAATTCCAGGTCCTCTTCTCAAGTTCACCTGGAAGTGAAGCAAGCCACTGTAGTGGAGACGCAGGTATTTCCATGGCTGCCTCCATATTTCGGTTTGCAGTCCCAAAGCCTAAAAAAGATGGTGCTTCTAATGGCTGAGTCCTGTGTACAGGCTTAGTTTTGTCCACCCAAATATTGTCCTCATTGTTAGGAGATGAGTACCCAGGGGATGGTCTTCCAACATCAAACCCATCCTTTCTCTTCATGGCATGTTCCTTGAGAACCTTGTGAATATACTCCCTGCTGGAATCTCTAAAGGCTTCAGACAAAAATTCAGCTAAATGATGCCTTGTTTGCTGACATTTTAGCCACAAAGCATGCCACTGCTTTTGTTCTTGTTTGCCACCCAGAGCCAAGATCATCTCACTCATTCTTTTAAAGTTCTCTGCAGAAAGTTTTGTACCTTCCTGATGATAGCTTTGGAGGCACTGAATCACAGATGGAGAATATCTGGCCCCTGCAGTTAAATGTGCAAGACACTCATTGCAATGTAACATCCACTCTTGTGCCTGGATTGGAAGAAAAAAGTACAGTTTAAGCAGCAAAAGTTTGTATATATAAAATATTTCCTGTTTAAGAATTTCCCATCACTTAGGAACAACTCCCTGCACAGATCGTGGCAAAATTTAAGAGCTGAGAGATTCTCTCCAATTACATGAGAATATTCCTATGCTTTGGATAAATCAAAAGAGGAGAAAAGAATAAACACTTGTCACATTAAGAAAGCACAGGAAAGAGTAAAACTATTTTTCATTTAGAAAAAGAACTGACCTGTGTTTTGTCTAATCTTAGTAGCAGAGATATGGATAGAGAACAGAGAGCCAAGAAGAGAAGGACATAAAAGGCCATGTGGTCTTTGTGTCTGCTGGGCTTACAAAACCCCTCGACATGTGCCCCACCATGCTACATACACGCCTCTCCAGCATCACAGAAACTAGAAAAAAAGGATTAATCTAAACCAGAAAGATTTTAAGCTTTTATTATAGACTCAGGAATAAAAGGTCAGAATTATGCCTAGGAGAGCACACATGCATTGAGAATATATATTCAGATAGAACACGACAAACAGCACACTCAACAGATTTCTCAAAAACCTGCTCAGGTGCTTGGCAAAGGGAGAAGGGATCCCAAGCGTAACCCAGTAAAGCTTGTCTAATTCAACACTAATTGCTGAAAACTGCTTAAGCTGAAAATTATGCACTATTCTTAATACAAATCCAGCTTATTTTACAGTTGATTCTTCAGGGTTCTACAGCAGTAACTCCACATTACCTGATCTTTGCTGTTGCATGACAGCAGCTAGATGCCCTGTTTACTCACTCAAATTCTTCCTCCAGTTCTAATCCTTCAGGGGCCTGTATGGACTGCCAAGTAACAACAAAGTGTCTATTGACATTGCCTGACCACTCTTATAATCAATAAGGTCTACCTTAAGGCATAGATGCAAAAATATTTTTATTACCATCTCATAAAACTCATACAAATTGACCAGCTTTGTCAGCTCCGTCTTCCTCTTTTCTGTCTGAATGAAAATGTTATTCAGATATTTCTTGAAATTCTGAACTTTTTCTTCCATCTTTAATGGATGATTTCCTTGCACCAGCTGCAGTCCTTTCTCGTAGTAGTGCTGTTGAGAGATGAAGAGAAAAATAGATAAGCTATGTAATATACTATTTCATTTACTTAATTATTATTCATTTATTTCATTGCTGTTATTTCATTAGCTATCACATCAACAAATCTTACTGTGTCAGTTGTAATGCACATAAAAACTTAAAAATACAGCATCAGTCTTGCTGAACATTCAGATTTTGCACTTACCTATTTTTATGCAGTGTTCTGCTTTTTTTCGTTTTGGACTTGGGAAGATGTAGAAGGAAAGTAAATATCATAATGGAACAGAACAAAAATTACAGAAAACTGAAATGAGCCTTTACAAATAGCAGGGAAAGCCACAGGAGTAATTCATCCCTAAAATAATATCAAGTTAAATTCATTTTCTAATTAACACACCTATTCTCTTAGAAGTATCAGTTGGACTTGATGATCTTGAAGATCTTTTCCAGCCAACCCTAATGATTCTGTGATTCTATAATCTTTATCTGAAGCGAGAATTTCAATCAGTAAAATTTTCAGTCAGTAAGCACCTAAGTCTCCCTATGTAGCTTTGCTTGCCTTCCTATGCAGCGACTATTTTAGTATCATGCAGCTTTTGCTGTGTGTGACTTAGTGCTTGGCACAATAATCAGCCTCCCAATAATCAGCCTTTGCAAATCAGAGAATCCACACAACATTTCAGGTATGTGCACAGCCTTGCCTCTTACTTTCTCCCCACATACAAGTTTTTTTCTGTGTCTTCCTTTGTTTTTGGCAAATGTCTAAAGAGAGTGGGCTTCTCAGAGCTCTGTGGCAGGTCATGCCGTACAAAGGACTTCAGTGAGGAATTATTGAGCTAGCCCTAAAACTGTTGCACAGTAGAGCATGAACTAAGCATGCTAGAAATGGAGAATTTCTCAGCTCAGGTGCAATGCATGACTACAGAAATGTGTTGCTAAGGGAGTTTTATTGGGATATCTGAAATTTGGTGCACCTTGACCAAAAGCTCTTGGAGAGGTCAGCCAGTCACTGTCCCAGGGGGCTGACAGCAGCCCCTTCTGCCAACCATCTCCCAGGGCTGTCCTCTATTGAGTCACCTGTGCTGGCAACCTTTACCTGTAGTGGAGACATTTTGTACAGGTAGCTGATTGGTCAAGTTTGGATATATCTCCCTGTAGAAAATTCCCTTTTTGATACATTCCCTTGCCTGCCATCTTCCTCCTTCCAAGCTATACAATCGGTGAAATACGACATAGGAGCTAGAGTCTTTTTCCCAGAAACAAAGTATAAGGTTATATGAATTCACTTAAGGTTGTACATCACTTTACAAATTAGGCAAGATTATGCGGATACGTGCACGTGTGCCACATGCTACAGTGATACTGTGAAAATATTGTTGGTTGGGGGTGGGGGGGGGGGGGTGGGATTTGTATCTCTTCTTGCTGCTGCAACCAAGCTATGCTGCTGCACCAGTTCAGGCTGAATTTTACATAGAGGTACTCTGGCAAATCTCCACTACCCAGTATGGACTGGGAAATAAGACCGTCATGCTGTCGGTAAAAGTTGACGTTTTTCCACTTATTAGGCAACTAAGCATACTTCTGTCTTCCCTTCAAGACTAAATATTACAGTAATGCACTTCATTCATCTATGAAAACTCAAAGGAAATGATCTGTATTAGCATGTACCTACCTTTGTCTTGTCCATGAAACCTTGGAAATCTTCTTGCAGCTTCCTCACCTTTTCCAGTGAAAGTCCCTCTTGATCTAAACAGCCAAGATATTTCTCTCGCTCATTTTCAAACCACTGTTTTATCTGCATAAAAATACCAAACCAACCTGTTTTTCCCAATCAGTTAATCAGACATTCTCCATATATAAATATAGCATGTAGAAATAAGTTCAAATACTTCATATACATCTTCCTTAAGATATTCTACAGCTCATATTGGTCTGCTTGAAATTCTGATGACTGTAATCTATTTTGCACACTCAAAACCTGCTAATGTTAATAGCACTACTCACACATTGCCCATGCATGCTTTGAACAGCACCAATATATAATCAATTATATGCACCATATTAGCTAAATCCAGCTCTATAAATAAATAGACATTTCGAACTGCAACTTGTTTATCCTAATTCTCAAAGACTGGTACTGACCTGATCACAGCCTTCTTCAAATTTTCTTGCTTCTGCAAGATTCTCCAACTGCTGCAGGCATTTATTAGATAAGAGTACCAGCCTATGGACTTCCTCATCCACTTGATTATAAAGTCTTGTTACAATCTCCATGGCATCTCTATTAGATGAGGCAGAAAGATCAACAGAATGTTTCCGACAAAAACAATATCAGAAGAAATACGTCTTTCAGAAGGCATTAATCCCCTATTTTGCTGATGAATGTTGCTGCAAACAAACCAGCAATCAAAAAACACTTTTTTTTTTTTTAAATGAACTTGTCAAATGCAAATGTACCTTACTGAAAACCACACAGACATGACGGTTACACTTTTCAAAAATGTGCAGAATATTAAATGTGTCTCCTCAGGGCTGGCCCAGAAGACATTCTGAGCTGTTGCATATATAAAGTTGCCTCCACTTGACAATGATTGCATCAGTCTAGAAGCGAATTCAAACTCTGCTCTAACAAAATCTGAAATACTTAAAAATTTAGAGCATTTGCTTAATAAGAACTTTACTACTACTTCTTTACGTTAGGTATGAGATACAACCGAATCCTGGAGAACCCTAGAACTTCAAAAAATAAAGCTGAGACAGCTATTCAGTAGAGGGACTGTCAAAAATACAATCTTACCTTGCAAAAGAAGTAAATAACTGTTTTCACTTCTTCTATAACTATAATTCTCTGACTCTGGAGGTGCTTGAACAGTGGAACACGTTGCCCAGGGATTGTGGAGATATCGGAAACTAGACTAGACTGGTCAACCCTCCCTTGTTGACCATGCTCACCAGACAGCCTCCAGAGGTAACTTCCAAGCTCACCTATTCAGGAACTCTGTGATACATGGTGAGCACCTTCTGAAAAGTCTGTACTTACCGATAGTCCTCTGTGTGGCAGGACTCCTTTCTAAGTCTTGCAAGGACTGTTCCACCTTCTAGCCGTAGTGTTACTAACAAGGCATCTTCCAAAACGAGCTTCATCATTGTCTTGTGTTTATTAATTAAATCACATACATCCTATGCAGAAGAAAAATAATGGGCCATTTGAAAAACCAAGGCATTGCACACTGTCTAGCTCACACATATTAAAAAAAACAGAACACCAGAATCTGGCTTTGTGCTTGTTCCACTTGCACTAGCTTGTGATTTTTGCCTAAATACTTTTGAATTTATATAAAACACATTAATCTAGGCAGATCTGTGCTTATACTCAATTCTGGCCAAAGCTCTCCTGACGACACATGCTCAGCTGAAATGGCCAGCATGTCAGAGATGTGTTCTGACATGATAAATAGCATCAGTGACTGCAGTGTTAAACTGCAGTGTTAAACATTCAGTAACACTGAAATTTGGGCAAGTATGATCATGTCTGATTATCCAAGCTAAAACTGTAAGATTCCTCTTAGAGCTATAAATTCTGTTTGCTGCATTGCAGTTTCAGTCAAAATACAGCATTTAGTCTGCTATATTAGAGAGGTGGGTTTTTTTTTTCCCAAAAAGCAGCAAGCTTCCTTATTGACAATGGAGATGTTTGCACTTGTCCTTTCCAACAGAACTTACCTGTGCAGTGTTGAGAGTTCTGTTGGCTGTCAGGGAGCCCACTGCATTCTGCAGAAAGCCAATGGCCTCTCTGCAGTTTGTAATAAAGGGTTCCAGTTTCTGTATTGGCAAAACAAGGCAACAGGTAGAACTTCAGAAAGAGTCTAAAACAATTGCTTTGATGTCCAGAATTTAAAAACACAATGAACAGTCACAAACTTTTTTGTGGTAAACTTTTGGTTCTTCTAATGGTTTGAAACCAGTGCAGTGCAATTAAATTGATCCGCTTAGTGTTACATCAACATAGGCCACACCAGGCAAGAAGAGGATAGAAACAGTTTTAACTTCAGGTGTTTTGGTGCTACTTCACATACTTTTATGGTAGGCCCTGCTTTAGAAATCAGTGTTTTAACCAACAAGTTAAGGATGGCTCCGCCAATCTCTGTAGAAAAGAAAGGGACACATGGAGAGAACTGCAGGTCAGACTCATGGCTGGGATAAATTGTGCTAGGTAAGGTGCGAGTTAGACCAAACATCAGGAGTGTCTAGTTAAACAGAATCTCTTAAGAGTGAGAAAGAAAAGTTTTGGGGAATAATACATTATGAATCTCTCTTCCAACAAAGACATCATTGCATACTGCATAACATAAAAATTACCACACTGAAACAACTAGCGTTTAATATAATCAGGGATTTAAGACAGCACAGGACCAAATGAAAGAAGAAAATGGAAAATGGAAAACTATCAGTATGAGCAGAAATTAGTAGCTGCAAGTAATTTTTTTTTTTTTTTAAATGAGCAACAACAGCTATCAAATTCAATGAAAAAAATGAAAAGGAGAGAATACATAGCAAAAATTTCAAAGTTGATCCTACCCTTCGGAAACATATCCAGTCACTGTGGTTATACTGAAATGTTCCATCAAATTCTGCTGTCAACTGTGTGCAGTCAATAAGCTTATTCAGAGCCTTCAGTGATGTGAGAATTTCATACTTCTCAGGAAAAAAATAAATAAAAAAATTAAATAAAGTTTTACAAAACTTAAATTGAATTGTAAGGCAAAGACACTTATTTTCCCTCCCCCAGAATTTATTGTCTCTTAAGAGATCCAGTTACCCAGCTAACAGAAACCACTACATACATGTATTACATGTGCGTGTGTGTGGGCGCACGTGGTCTTGAAGTCTCCCTTCTGCATGGGCAATATTCCAACATCGAGAAAGGGAAGGCACTGAGCACTGCTGATTTACAGAAGCTGGGAAACTGGTCCCAAGAAATTTGCCTCATTTGAAGAATTACATTTTGCTTTTTGTAGTATTTTGAATACATTCAGAGGTAGGAATACATATATATTTGCACGCGTATGTGTGTGTGTGTGTGTGTGTGTGTGTGTGTGTATATATGTGTGTGTGTGTGTATATATATATATATGTATATGTATCAAATGACCAATCTTGTGGAGCTGTCTAAGCCACAGGACGGTGATATGAAATATCAGTACATTTTTTTTTCTTTGGTAAACATCTTTCTCCTAAGAAAAAGAGGTTTTTATGTTATACATAACATAAAAAAAATCCAGAAGAACAAATTTCTTTTCCGACTGACATTAACTTACGTAATTGCATCTGTGCTCTAAAATCCATCATTTTTATTTTAAACATCTGTGCCAAGTTGGCGCTAAATCATTCACTGATAATTGTGGTACCACAGACACCAATACACAGATACAGTGTTACTGACAGGACTATTATCAGCAAAACTGTTCCAATAGTCCATGGAACTAAGGAGTGCACACTCAGAAGACTGAGCTCTTCTGAACAACACAATCAAATAACTTTGCAGCCACTTTTAATAGAAGAATATTTCATAAGAAATTTTATATTTACACATACCTTTTGACAGCTCTGAGCAATGTCCTAACTTACCTGAATTGCTATGTCCCGATCAGGCCTAAAAGAACATTCCTTATCAGTCAATAAAAGGACACTGTGAATTGAATGAGGAATTGCATTCTGGAAAAGAATACAAATGCAGTTAGAGAAATGTTCTTTCTACAAAATTCATAATCCCTTTCTTTTTCTAAGATGCTATAGAAAGAAGCTTCTCTGTTTAGCTGTTCCTCAAAATCCAACCAAGAAGTAGGCATGGTTCACTTGAGGCATCTTAAACTCTTCATTCCACACATCTGTTTCTTCTAAACCAAAATGTTATTAGTTCAAAATACTTTAGAATGTCTTTCTCCTAAATCAAGCTAAGAGCTGTGCTAAAGAACGGCATCCCATTAAGGGCAAAGGCTTCATTTTTTTTTAGCACATTCTGTCTTTGATATGTATTTCAATCCAAGCAACAAGCTAAAATTTAAAGTAGTATGAGATGAAATCAACAGCAAGAGAATCAGAAGAACTGTCTTCCCAGGATTCTGATCCATTCCATGTCCACTTCATATGCAATGTTTAAGAAACATGGACTTAAGCATGATATATGTGTTCAAATTTCACTTAATTTCTGTTTGGAGAAAAATAAACCTCTTTCTAGTAACTTTATTTATTTTTAATCATACAATTATTATTTATTTATTATCATAATTATTTTTAATCTTATTTTCAAAATTATTTCTGCTTTAACTTTTTCACCTCATCCTTGGGACCCCTTACCCTGCAGAACAACTACCAGTGTAAGAAAGCTCCTATTCCCAACAGATTTCAATATGTATCACAGCATGTTTTAAAAATCCTAGCACTTCATTCTGCACTTAGGCAGGAAGCCTCTCTCAGGCACTACTCACCTGCATTGCTGTTAATGCTTTGAAAAGAGAAGAATTAGGCTGACACTTGCGCGCATCCACTAGAAAAACAACTCCCAAATCACGTACCTCCTTCCTGGCAACAGAAAGACAAGTGTGTTTTTAAGCCATGTTCTTTTAGGGAGGAAATTCCATGCTGAAGGCTTCTAGGCCTTTACCAGAGCAAACAGCCCGAGGATGGGTTCACTTACAACACACGAGTGCATCTTAAGATATGTTTTGGGTTTTGTTTAAAGAGAGAGAAAGAGACAGACACTGTAGGAACACAGGTGGCTAGTTTTGCTAAAGGATTTGGAATTAGAGAAGATCAGTCCTGCTTTACATGGTCTGCCCCAGAGCTGTGTATGATGCTTGCGCTGGAGGCATCTCCTCATCCCTTCTTTTCAGCACGTCGCCCTCCTGATGCCTCAAGAGACAACACTGCTGCTCACTTGTTTTCCTTGTGGTGCTCCAGCCTTGCTTGGAGGCCCTTTCTGAGGGGAAGCCTTTGTTGCAAAGAGGGCCTACTTAAGGGTGACTAAGACCTCTTCTGCTGTGAAAAATATTGTTCTATATCCTGAGTTATTCTGAAGATACAGCTGCAGTAATTGTGGGAGGCAGACGACCCCAAGGGTCCCCAAACCTCTTCCCAGGCCCATTTGTGTTCAGGATGCCCAAGCAATGTCAGGCCTTGGCATAAGACATCTGGGAACAAAAAATAAAATAAAATAAAATAAACTGCAATTAGGCGATCAGAAATATTCTCCCTTCACCTGTATAAGGCAACTTACAAAAATTAAAGTTCCTATTTCCCTTGTGCTCTTTAAAGCCTGTGCCATCGTTTGTTTTAACCTACGGGGACTTTTGAAAACACAAATATTTACAAATCTTACCTGCTAAAACTCATTGATTAAACATTATTTTGTCCAGGATTAGGATAATGTTTCGCCTTAAAAGGGCTGACAGTTTCTTTGTAAACCAGATTAACAGAGTTGCCATGTTTCATACATTTTGCACCTTAACCAACCATCTCGGATAGGTTTTTTGGGATATACAAAATTCCAAAGCAAAACTGCAAATGAATGAATCTACAAAAGTAGGTTTGCATTTATCTCCATAAAATAAAATAAAAAGGTCTGTTAAAAACAATCTTCATTCAGAAAGTCATCCTAAAAATGTGTATTGCAAATTTATTTCTGAAGCATGGTATGAAAAAAAAAAACTCTTCAAATATAAAATTTTCATTTAAAAGTTATTAAAATGTTTGCTTGACAGAACAGCACAGCACACCTTTTTTTTTTTTTTTTTTTTAGAAAAAGAGGAAACATTCAAAAATGAGAAATGTACAATCTCTAATTATATAATATAGAAAATGAGAAACAGTCATCCAATGAGATACAGCCATTTGGTTGAAACTCACATTTTGACAAAGAGAAATGTTGGTGTCATTGTGATTACATAATTACATGAAAAAAAATTCTAAGTAAAAATTCAGAGAAATCGGGTGGGACAAGGGAAATAAATAGTAGGTCCTACCTGGGGTAGGTTAAGAAATGCAGTTTGTTTTTTATTTAAAACAATTATATTAATTCTAACAGATCCAGAAACTCTAGAGGCAACTTTATTTCAGCAGTTACTTCCTCCCTGGCAATTCAAAAACTGTGAAGGAGTATGAATATATTTCTCTTTGTTGGAGAACCTGATGTGCTCTGTGTTTCCAAATGTTAAAATATTCGAAGAGGGCAATGCCTTTCTCATGTGACAACCACTTATTTTGCAACACTTTACAGAGGGAAGTGGGAACGTTCTTGTTCTTGCTCTCCCTGTTATTTCCCATCCTAGAGAGCCAAAGGCTGTTTACTTAAGGAGTTCAGGGTGGGGAGTGAAGGGGTAAAATGAGATGGAGGTAAATCATTAAATAAAATCACTGTAATTTACAGACAACTGTCACAACCTCCTCTTAGTTGGTTCTTGAGAACTCTTACTTAGGCTTGAATTAGGCTTTGATTAAAATAAAGAAGACAAAGCCAAATAGTAAAAACTCTTAGTACAGAATATGTGATGAGGTACTACTCTCTTTCTATTCTCTTCAGAGTGTATCTGTGGCCCTCATCATCCTTCTTACTTTCCCTAGTCAAAATGATATTTATTTTGTTTTCCCAGTACTTTCTTACTTTCCCATAATTTGTCACTTCTGTTATGACTAAAAAAATGGACAAAAGGTAGAATTTATACCAGCCTCCAGGTTTGCAAAACTTAGGCCAGCATCTATATATTACAAGAAACAGCTGAACTCAATGAGAAAATTCAGTATGTCAGTGGGTGGTCAGTGTGAGGAAAATCAAGGAATATGAGCTGCTAGGTTATTCATATGGACTTTGCATTATATATTTTTCGACAGGAAAAGACAGCAGGAGAATGAATAAAACACAACTCCACAATTATTCTTAATAAAGCCAATAAAAACGTCTGCATGTCAACTGTAGACCTGTTATAAGAGAGACTACCTAAGTTACTAAAGAAGTTATACTGCAGAAAAAACTGTGAAATTGGCAAACCCATAGTTATCTTCTACAAACAGTGAGACATCATTAACAAGCTTCCTGAAACTACTTTACCATGTTTATTTATCTCCTGGAAAAAGTAACCAGTACTAAACCTGAAGGATCAAATACGAAATGCAAACACAAACTTAACTTTACGGGCGCAAATGAAATTGGTTGCAGTATAGAATGAATCAGTGAGGTCTTATTTCATAGTTCCAGATCAAGTTAATGTTTAAAGGACGCAGACCTCAAATTATTTTTTATGCTTCCTGTTGCACAGGAAACAATGAATTAAAGCAGAACTAAAACTGAAAATAACACTGTCATTAGACTCACAGCTTTAGCCCAAGCTAGATCACTAAGTCTTAAAGTGCAAGCAGACACACAGCTGGCATTTGAGGCAAGTTTACACTGCCCACTCTGGCAGAGAGCTCATTCACCTGTGTCACCAGCTAGCCTCCAGCAGGCACGCTGTACGAGCACTACCTCTAAGAACACTTACTTCAACAAAAAATTAGTATATGAGGAGAGCCATTTGCATTTCAAGGTGAGGCAACTGCACAGGTACTTGACAGTACAGTGGAAGCTACTCCTAAACCAGAGGCATGGCAGACGTGACAAGCTTTCAGTTATGGCACCCTATTTAAAAGCAGTAAATAACAAAAGAGTACATTTATAAAGCAGCAAACAGCTGTCCAGCCACGAAGTGATTATTTTATCACATAAACCAAGCATTAAACATTACAGCTAACAGTAAAACAAGCTATGAGATCAAGGCCTCTTGACCTCTTGTTCCTAGCAGTATGTGATGCTCACAAAAAAATTTTAGCACTGCCTGGGATGAGGAAGCACTTGGGAGCTTTCCATAACAGCAGGGTCTCCGCAGCCCTAGCATCTGTGTTACCATAAAAAGCAAAGCCAAAGCCCAGTGGGTTGGTTCACTTCATACCTGGGGATGCTGTACAGATACATCAAAAGATGGGCAACCACTGTGCTTGTGCAATGCTCCTTTAACCAGATGGCATGTCTTGTGCAGACCTGTATCACTGCTCGGCCACTTCTGTCTCTGCTTCCTAGACAGAGAGATGCAAAGGAAAGGTTTGCAAAAAGTTTAGCCAGGAACATGGCATTTAGAGGAAAGTTTTCGCACGTGCATGTCTGAAAACTAGCAAAGCTCACTTAAAAACACTAAAAAGTGTTTCTGCTTAACATTTTTGCTTAGTTTTTTTTTTTAAGAGTTTTGTGGTCAAAAGCCAGGACAACCATGGTTATGCTTGGTCATCCTCAAAGCAAAGGTTGCAAAGCTTTGCTGTTCCTCCAATTAACTCTTGTATATGAAACACTCTTGTAAACGAGGCTGGCTCTACTCAGCAGAACTATAGTTTTATATCAGTTGGCAACTTATCCTTAATCTATCTTTGGTATTGTCAAACTGAAACAAAAAACCCACAAATTTATGCTTTGTGCACGTTTCATCTGTCATCAAGTAAATTGTCCCTCCCATAGCACGTACCGCACAGAGAAATGACTCCAGCTTGCAGCAGCTCTTGATTGACCTCGAGCAACTGTTGTGGCAGTCTGTGGCAAAGGCTCCCTGTACTTGCAGCGAGCAGGTCGTGTTCATGATGGAGCAGAACAGGAGATGCATCTGTGGCTGTGGTACCCTTACCTCCCTGGAAACTGCTTTTTGTACTGCTTACTGTCATGATGGAGCAGAACAGGAGATGCATCCCTGGAAACTGCTTTTGTACTGCTTACTGCCAAGTGCTGATAAAAGCCTGGACAAATGGAAGAATTGGTTATTTTTCTTTTCCCTTAAGCAGTGGGAGACTGCTTTCCGATGATAAAAGATGTGTAGAATATGTCCAGATGCAAAGAAACAGAGACATCTACAGATTATAATCTTATTTTAAAAGAGTTCAGGCAACAAGCTGAGCGCTTGAAAGCTTGGGATGAAGCATCAAGAGAAATCTGCAGCTTCATTTGATCTTCCTGTGATCTTCCTTCTGCATTACCCCATACAGTCTAACCATGACTACGCATCTGTCTGCGCTCCGTGCCCACCTCCGAGGCCTCCACTGCACAAGGCTAACAAGAATAACTTTGCATAACAGAACTGGATGAAGCGGAGAGCAGATTTCGGGGTATTCAGGAAATTAGCAGGTGGGATGCCATGGGAAACAGCTGTGAAGGAGCTGAATAAAGCATGCAAGTCTTTAAAGACAACATCCTTGAAGGGCAAGAGCAGTCCAACCGTGCTCAGGAAAGCAAGTAAATGTACCAGGAGACCAGCTTGCCTAGGCTGGCAGCTTGGGATAGAGCTCCAGTGCAAAAAGATGGGGGTGGAAAAGGCTCCAAAAAGACTGGAGGTGAAAGCAGGGACAAGCTACAAGAGAGGAATTTAGACACACTTCCCTGGCAACTAGAGGTGGTGTTAGCAAACCCAAAGCCCAGAGTTTTGACTTAGAAGACGTATTACGGGCAATAAGTTCCTACTGCAACTTCAGTAGTAAAAGACAGAACAAGAAAAACGTAGGACCATTGCCGAATGGGGCAGGAGATGAAGCGACAGCAGACACACGTAAGGCTAAACTATTCAATGCCTTCTTTACCTTAGTCTTGGCCAAATATTTTGTGCCTCTGTGCTTAGTGAAAGAGTCTGAACCACCAGCAGTAGACAAGGACCAAGTCAGAATCACAGAATGTTTGAGGCAGGGACCTCTGGAGATCATCTATGTGCCCTGATCTAGCAGAGTCCCCTGGAGTATGTTGCACAGGGCCCTGTCCAGGGGCCTTTGAGCATCTCTCAGGATGGTGACTGGACAACCGCCTTGGGAAACCTGTTCCAGTGCTCTGTAACCCCTCTCACAGTAAAGAAGCTTTCCCTTATGTTCAGGCAGAACTTCCTGGGTTCCAGTTTGTTGCCTCTTGACCAGGCCCATCCTTTTTACATCCTCTCTTCAGATAATTTTAGATATATTATATAATTATTAGTTTTGGATCATCTGCAAACTTGCTGAGGGTACTGTCCCTTCCTTCATAGCATTAATGAGTAAGTCAAACAAGTCTGGTCCTCAGACTGACCCCTGGGAGACACTGCTGGTTACTGGTCTCCAACTAGATTTTGCATCATCCACACATTTAGCCTGCACTTTCTGGGCTTTCCCATGAGCATGTCATGGGAGACAGTGTCAAAAGCTTTCCTCAATCCAAGGCAGATGACACCCATTGCTCTCCCTTCATCTCATCACTGAAACCAACTTGGGTTGGTTAAGCATGATTTCTCCTTGGTGCATCACTGCTGACTACACCTACTTGTCCTTCATGGACCTGGAAATGGCATTCAGAACAAGCTACTCCACCACCTTTCCAGGGATGGAGGTGAGGCTGACTGGCCTGTGATGCCCTGGGTCCTCTTTCTTGCCCTTTTTGAAAAACTGGAGTCGCTTTTACTTCCTTCCAGTCCTCAAGCATCAGTCCCAGTCACCCCGATCTTTCCACGATGATCAAGAGTGGCCTCATGATGACACTAGCGGGTATACCCCATCAGGGCACGTGGACTCACGTGCATCCAGGTTGCTTAAGCAGTCCCTACCTCAGACCTCCTCCACCATGGGAGAGTCTTTCTGTCTCCAGATTTTCTTCCTGATCCCCAGAGCCTGGGGCTCCTGAAGGCCAGTTTCAGCAGTAAAGACTAAGCAAAAGGTGACACGCGATACCTTGCCCTCCCTCTGTTCTTTATCACCAGGGCCCTGCCTTCTTCAGAAACAGGCCTACATTTCCCCTCATCTTTCTTTGGCTACCGATACATTTAAAGCAGCTCTTCTTGTTGTCCTTGACATCCCTCACCAGATTTGTAGCCCAGAATCACAAACCAAGCCAGAAGGCAATTTTGTCTGGTATTTATGGCATTTCTGCTTATGTGTCAGGGCCTGGAAGAGGTGCGTGCATGATGGTAAGATCCGCTTAGAAAAACCATTGCACAAACATGACAACATTGGTCTAAAGCCATGAATAACATAGCTGAGAATAAGAGCACACCCACAAAACATACAGAAGTCAGTTGTTCCTGTTTTAAATATGCAATCCAGGAAGACATGTTTGAGGTTTGTCACAAACATGATCAATTACATCCTGCACCCAGCAAGACCCGTGACACTCAAAATGAGTTAAAAACAATCACACAACCAAAAAAAAGAACTGCAGGGGATAAACAAGGATGAGATATTAGAATTTGTCCAGCTTATTTTTCACAGGCAACACAAATCTTTTCTGCTTGTCATCTGAGGCAGCCTGGCAAACAGCCACAGTCATTAGATTGATGTGTTTGAACACGAACGTCAAGTCTCCCCGAGGTGCAGAGCACATTGAGGCTTGCTGACACTTTAACCAAACTATGAGTTTCCAGCTTACAGCTACCTTGGAGTATTGGCAAAGTAAGCTGACATCTCTCCAACCATGTCCACATATGCTTACCAAGATTTTCAGGTGATCTTCCCAACAGTTTTTTTTTTTTAATTCCAAAAGAGAATATACAAAACATTTTGAAAAGCGCTTTGTGTGAAAAAATTTAACACAGAGTGCTAACATGACACTGAATATTCTGTCAGAATAACACTGACAGAGTTGATAAGAAACATCGATTACAGCAAAGCAAGCAGACATTTAAGTTTAGATCCAAAAGAAGGAAACTACCTAGATGCAAAGGCTAATCATTCAGCTAAAACCATATGAGAATGCTACAAAAAAAAGATATCTAAAGGATTTTTATGTTTTACCTTCGTCCCCTTTGTTGTGCTTATGGCTTCTCCCAATAGTGGAAAATGACCCAGAATCCAATTTTCCTGGCCTTGAAACACATCCATTTAACAACTTTTTGGGGTTTCCATCTGACACACTGTGCAGGAACTTGTCAGGTCTCTGATCTGCAAGATGTGGACTTCTGTGTGCCCTGTCCAGAGACCGGGAGTGTCTTGGCCCAGCCTTGCACTCCACTACAGACAGAGCTTCAGGAGGTGCAAACACCTTTTTAAAAGTCAGGGGAGAATCAGCAAGGCTTATGCCTTTTTTCATTTCATCCTTTGGAAGGAGCCTACCAAATAAGAAGTTCCCCTTTTCAGCCTGATTCTCACAAGCTTTGCCTTCATTCACAGTGCATGAGTCCATAACATGCTCTGAAGCCTCCTCTTCCACAAAGGACTCCTCGGAGCTGAAACTGACGTTCATGGGGTTTTGCAGCGCTTCGATGTACGACTTCCTAAATAAACGTCTCGCCTCAAAACACCCCGAATCCCTGCGCTGCTGCCCCGCTGGACACGGACTGCTCAAATCCGTATCAAAAGTTATGCTTTTCACGTGATTCCTTTTTTCCACAAGGGGTGATAATGCCACATCTTTTAAAATCACCGGGTCCTTTTCAGGGCCAGTAGCTCTGTCTTTTGTGAGCGACCAGGCCTCCGGGCACACACCAGGACCGACAGAGTCATCTTTGACGGTGTCTCCCGGAGCCCTGGCGCTCCCCAGGGCCAGGCTGCTCTCCGAGGCCGGAGCCGGGGCTGGCGCAGAGCTCTCGAGGCCGCTGCGTTGCCTTATGCCAGGGGCTTCTATCACGGTGGAGCCGGTTTCGTTGGAGGTGGAGCTGTCGCACGAGCTGTTGCTCTCCATGGTCTGGGTCAGGGCATCAGGGTGATTGCTGATCAGTTGGTCGAAATGATTCCCAGGGTAATTGCACAGGATGGTTTCGGTCGTGGGAACAAAGATGGGATTAATTATGTTCTTCCACGGAGTCCTATACACGGCCGAGCCCGTTGTGAGTAAGCAGCTCTTCAAGGGAAAATCCTCCCTTTCACTATTCAGCTTTTCCAAAAACGTCGCCGTAAAAATGCAACCATACATTGCTTCAGGGATAGCAACTACTTCCATTCCTTGCCCACATCTGGAGAGGCATTTTAAAACTAGCTTTGCCAGCTGCTTCCCCGCAGGTGCTATTTGCAAGTAGAAATCCCCCGGTTTCAAGCGAACTCTGTGGAGAGATGCTAACTGTATCACCACTTTCTCATGGATGCACAATGGCCAGCCTTCATGATAGAAGATGAGGCCAGTGTACTTAGCCTGTGAGGAGAAAAGAAAGGAAAAACATAAGAAGAAAAAGAGAGCATTGTGTTATTTCTGAAAAGCAAGTGGGATTCAACCATGGTCCAGCTGTCCGTTTCCTTGCAATATCCCCAAGGTTTTGCACCTTACAGCATGGCAGTAGGGAGTCCAGCCAAGATTAAATCCAACAGAAACATAAAACAGCTCTGCAGAAATAGGAGAGCCCTCTCTGACCTACCTTCTCTCTCATTTGCTGAAGGGGAAATTGTTTCTTTAACTAAACCTTTACCCTAGCTTTCCAGCTGCTGGTTAGAAAGGAGCTGATCAGAATTTTATTTTACTAGGTATTATAATGAGTTGTATTAAATTTCCAAAACAATATTAAGACTCAAAACCAGAAAAAAAAAAGTGATGCTAAAAAGCTGGGTTTCTAAGATTTTGATTTTCCAGGAAAAAAAAAGAAAAAGGAAAAAAAAAAAAAAGCACCATTCTCTATTCACATTATTTTAGGAGCTGGAAATTTGCAAGGCAGCCGGTATCATAAATACCCAAAACAAACAAACAACCCCACAGGTTTGACAATAGCAACACTGTCCAACCACATCCCTTTGGC